TGGCAAAGCTTATGACTCGTGGTGTAAATCTGTGAAAGTATTGGAAGTTCAAGTATTTTGCTATTAGTACAGAAAAGCCAAAAGAAACCTAAAGGTTTGACAGGTTAGCTGCAATGGAGTTGTTAAAATTAGCGGTATTTCCGAACTGTTTGGGAACTCAAAGTTTGCTGTCTTTTTTAATTCTGATTTTCCAAACATGAAATATCCTAATGTTTTTCATTTTTTAATCAAAAGGTGAATTTTTAAATTCAAAATTTTCTTCTGGAGTAAATTCAACAGTAGAATAGTTTTGGAGTTGAGAGAATCAGTATTGCGGTAACCACGATAATAAAATACGGCTGGTCTGGATATTTCCGGTTTTAGGAATAGCAATCGAAACCGCCGGAATAATCGGTATTGAAACCGTAGGCAAGGATTCTCTGAAAATGATCTGAATCTATTCCTTCAATTCCCTCTGCATATCATACGGTACCGACTCAGCTCTAATATCTGTATCACAGAATTGAAAACCTCGAAGCTACACTCAGGCAAATTCTCTAGTACAAGTTTCAGCCTCCGACATATAAGCAATCGGCTACGGCGAGTCGGGCGCACCGCCGTTTACAGCGTCACACAGCGGCAAATCGACCACTCGTCTTCCGTACAGGTGCGGACTTCCCGCACGGGTATCATGTAAAAAACCTATAAAAAGTCAAAAAAACCTATAAAATGTCAACTTGCAGACTAGGTAGTTTTTAGGGCACAAACAGTCATTCCACGTTTGCTCACTAGGATCGTTGTGAACGTCCATCTATAGAGGAATCACTCAACTAAACTACGCATTATTGGTTGCATACTTTTGTGAGGCTGAGTGATCCGGGTCTGTAGTTTTTATCTCTGAGAAGAAAGTTGGTTGAATAGCAAGATCGCATCTGGATGATTATGTATATTGGTCTGCATGTGTATAAAATCAGTGATATTTGCTGTGTGAGAAAATCATTACTGAATATGCCGAATATGACGGGTTATTTATATGTTGTGCTCTCTGAAGAGAGGTTATGTTCAAAGTTATAAATTATGAAAAACTGAGGAGAATTACGGGAAATCATCACCGCGCCCACGTTGTGTTTAATTACTGTTAGCATGTATATGGCTTGTAATTAGACAGTGTACAGTGAATATAATTATATCTTATCTCTCTCATTTTTTAAATTCAGTAAATTTGTATATGTAATTTCCAGAATGGATAAGAAAAAGTGCATTCGTAACTAATTTCCAGCTTTGGATCTCAACTAAGTGTATTTGAGACAGGAACCCGATGTAATTATCATCAACACATACATCTAACAGCTTATACCACCAGTAATGCCATCTCAGAAGCAGATTTTACATCACATCAGAGCCAAAGATTGATAACAAGCCTCATGATGTTTAGGCAACACGTACAACTAAGTGCTAAGTTAACATCTTGTAGAATAACCTACATAATATCAAAAAAAAACAACATAATGTCAAAAAAAATCGGCATGATGTCACTTTTCAAGATACGTGATATCCGTGCCGGTCCTTTGCAAACAATTTCCGATAGTCCCGAATGGTCATATAAGTATAAAAAATCAGAGCAACTCGTATGAAATTGTTTGGTGGAAATAAGGGAAAAATTTAGTGAAAAGATCGATTCGCTACCGGCGGGAGTAAAGTAACTTATAGAATGCATGAGGCACAATACTGTATAATCCACACTTTGATGTGTCCACTATGTAATCCTGTCGACGTTAGCTCTGAGTTGTGTCAATGTTAAATATAAGCATTTTCATAAAACTCTTCATGTTATATTTTAAGTCTGCTAGCTATATATGTGGCGATTGTGAGGATACCCCATATTAACGGCCTTAACTGGTCAAGAAAAAAAAATTAAAAAAAAGAGGAATGAACTACGAGGCGCTAATATCGGGCTTTTCTTGTTCCCTTGGTGCGGGTGTCGACAGGGGGCCCCTGGTTTCATCTGGAACTTCTTAACAGCCATTTGCACAGTAATTAGACATTATAAAAATGGCGGCTTAACAAAACAGCGTCAGCAAAAGCGCGTGCTTCCAGCAGCGCTTCTAGCGATTCTACTGCAACTCTTGTTGCTCCGCATGCTATTGGAAAGCGGTCTTCCTCTTTCTTCCAAGAGACCACAAGCGCGACAGTACCAAGAATGACAGTGACAGGAAAAATGATGGAAACTAAAGTAAAACTGGCATTGCGGATGCAACAATTTCCATTGAAAAGTACTATGCGTCAAGTAAATTTACTCTGCACCTCCTACGCAACGCCGTCATCAGTTACAACAGAGAAATTAAACGCTCTAAGTCCATCAAATAGGCCCATACAACTAGTTTATAGACATTACTTTTCTGAGCTACTGGTAGTAACTGTCCATCTGGCAACGGTGTCCCTTTCCACATCTACGCGGCATCGCTGTAGCTCGTTATCGTTCGTTTCGGTCATGTACCATATTTGCGCTGCCTTATTACTACTATCGACGAAAGACGAAATTTAATATAAAGCAACTGTTGCACCTAACCTTAGGTAGACCTAGTACACTGGAAGATTTCAAAAATGAAAAACATTAAATAGTGCGCTAATAATTTACATATGTCTATCGTACAAATATTGGTTAAGTGCTATTTTATTTATATTGATAAGGTTTGATCCAATTCGTATTTATTATGTCCTTAACGTATACTGAATATAAATCATTTATGTACAAGAATGCATGTCCTTAATTTTTACAGATATATGGTTATATTTTCTAAGTCCATTAATAAAGCGAGAGCATATGTTTTATAATTTAGATTCCGTGTATACATATGTGATCTAAAAGGAAAATAAACTGCGAATCATCATTAGAATTCTGTGTACACATATGTCACCTAAAAGGAAAATTAACTGAGAATCCATATTTAACGATAGAACCCAGGTTTCACTTAACCGTTTTTTTTCAATGTTACTTAAAATGAACCTATTATTATATAGTGAACGAATTCGTATCTATGCTTTCTGGACTAAAGTATTTACATGTTGTCTCAAACGAAGCTGTTTGTCAATTTGTACACGTAAAATCTTGGATACGTTACAGAAATTTAGTTTAATAATGACTATACAGAAATCCTCTGTAATCTTATTTTTATCATTTTCTGAGCACAGGATAAGTCCTCTGCATTTATTTAGATTTAACTTCAAATTATGTAATTTTGATTGATGGCTTATAGATTCCAGGTCACTATTGAGTGGTACCATAGCTGCTTGTAAATTTTCTGCATTGAAATTATGAATTATTTGGGTATCATCGGCATAAATGTGTATATATGAATGATTTATAGGTACATTTATGTATATCTAAAGTGTATGTTAGAAATGAAATTGGTCCAAGTATTGAGCCTTGTGGTGCACAAGATATAACGTTTGAAATAGAAGAAACGGTGTTATTCAACGAGACCCGCATGGGTATCATGTAAAAAAACTATAAAACGTCAAGAAAAACCTATAAGATGTCATCTTGCAAACTAGGTAGTTTTTAGGGCGTAAACGGTCATTCCACGTTTGCTCACTAGGATCGTTGTGAACGTCCATCTAAGGAGGAATCACTCAACTAAACTAAACGCATTATTGGTTTGTGGGGCCAAATGGTCCTTGCCTCTAGTTTTTATCTCTGATCTCTGATTAGGAAATCATTACTGAATATGCTGCCAATGAAGATCTTGTAGAAAAACCTACATAATGTCAAAAAACCAGCATAATCTCAAGAAAAAATCGGCATAATGTCACTTTTCAAGATACCTACGTGATACCCGTGCCGTTGTTTGCGATTTTGTAAGTACGATTTGCAAAATGATGCAGAGCTATTATCAAACCCATAACATCTTAATTCAGCAAATAAAAGGTCATCATCAATACAGTCGAACACTTTTGAGTTATCACGAGAAACAACTGTCGATGCTAATTTTTTATCTCTTGCTCTAACGACTTCGCCTACTAGATTCAGAAGTCCAGCCGTGGTACTGTGATTCTTGAGAAAACTGGATTGACGACTCGGTATAATGTTAAAATTCATTGTTATAGGACTTTTTCTTACATCACTGAAAGCACGCCAAGCAGACTAACGGGTCGCAAATCAGATTTGCCGCTCGGATTTTTCACTTTAGGGAGAGGCTTAACTATTGCTAGCTTCCATGATTCTGGAAAGTAGGAATTTTCGATGCTCATGTCTATAATTTGCGTTATATGTGAAATCATTGCTGATAAACCCTTCTTAACCATGGACAGGATTATTTGATCTACCCCAGGAGCATTTCACTTTAAAGAATACACTGCAGATTTTACAAAATCATTATCAACTTGATCAACAAGTCTATTGCTATAATAGTGCTCAGTGTTGTTGAAAATATAATTTTTATTATAAACCGAAGAAAAATATTTATATAAGAATACTAAAACAAAAAAAATTCACATACCCTCCCCCACCCCTACAACCACCCATCCCCGAGTTTCAACCCATACAAGGGTTTTTCTGAAACATCAAAGAAGTTTGAGCAATATTTATTTTTTTATTGTTGGCTTTTTTCTCAGCCGGCACTAGACCCATTTTCAAGAACTACAAATTTTGAAACACTACAAGCCTTGACATAGAAGCGACATTATGTGAGAAGTATTCAAAGTCTGAGTGGTTCTCCTCAAGTTAGATATGGGCCAAGGATTAGCGGACAGACAGACAGGTAGATAGACCGACAGACCGACGGAAACGAGTGACATGGTTTTTCGTGATGTACATATCATATAACATCCAAAAAACACAATATCTCATTTTCAAAAAATTTCGCGATTACAGTACTACTCACCTAGTGGCGTAGTACGTAAACATGCAACACATAACTATAGTTTGTATGAAATCATCTAAATGTTAAAGTTTTTCTATACCCTGTATTTGAGGAAACGTCGTCGGACACCTCTAATTAAACTCTCCCATTTTTTCCTAGGTGTTTTTCTACCACATCGCCAGGTGGCGTTATGCTAGGGAAACGCAGCTAGTCGGGGAGGGACGTATTTATAACCTCATTAGAATTCCCGGCGACGAGACCCTTAATTAATTGGTGTGAAAGTTGTAGGAGTTGCCGCTTTCGCAACTCTCCGAGAAGCGCGCTTAATTTACGTTATTCGAATCCCGTGTGGAGGTTTTACTGCGAGGGACGAGTAGGTGAGACCGAGCGCCCCTAGAAGTTACTTTCGACAGTTACTCTGTTGCTGATGACTTGTCACTTCTTTCAATCCCTTCCTCTCTCACCTACTCTTTTTATTAAGTATCTACTGAATATATTAGAAAAAATGGCGTGAAGTAGATTGTTTCAAAAAACGAAGTTGAATCGGCATTAGGTAACTTCACTTAGGTACGATGGTACTTCCACCTCTGCATATCAAACTATATAAAGCAAATCTATCATACTTCTGTTTCCATAGCACATGTAGGAAAAATAATATATGTGTGACGTTTCTAACAGATGCAAAGTATAGCTGAGATCAGCTACTTAATTCTTGACATCAAATATGCAACAATTTACAACCGTTTACCGCATACAGCGAAACAGACGCATTTTTGTTTTCGAGGGGGACACAAGTTTGGAAAAAAATCACGTTAGCACGTGCAGCCCCCTAAGCGGGGGTGACACCACACCAAAAATCTTAAATGGAAAGGAGGTCGAGTGATACCTTATTTTAAAGGTCTTTCAATTCATCGATCTGGAAACGTCTAATCTAAATATTGTCAAACACGTAATGCGTAATGTGGTGGGGCACCATACTGTTGGAACATCAACCTATTCGCAATGTACCGCCGATCATTCTGATTTTGAATTATGGCAGTTAATGCAGGATCTATGGCATCTTCCAGTAATTCCAAATACATTTCACCGGTCAAATTTCCAGGTAAGAAAAAAGGACCAACTAAATGATCGCCAAAAATAACAGCCCAAACATTTAGTTTTTGTGGCTGCTGTGTATGAACCTCATGATAAATTCTGGGATTAGAATCGGACCAATATCAGCATTTATGACGATTTACTATGCCATTTAAGAAAAAGGAACATTCGTCGGAAAAGCAAGTGTGTTTTTTATTGGCGACTGGCTCAGTTTCCCGAAATTTAGCTACAACTTCTAGAACATATTTTCAATGCACGTTACTGTTCTCATGTCGCTCATTAAATATTTCTGTTGTCCTATTAGCGCACTGATTATTTCCGAAAAATATTTCGATAATTTCAACTCTTTCTGCTGTGGAATATACCATGGTTAATTTATGTAATAAAGCTTTACAAGTTATTTTCGCAACAAAGTTTGGTCAAATCAATCGCAAACTATGTACTAAATTCCTATTTAAAATAAGTACGAGATATTTCCTTATCTTTCTTCAAGAAATAACTTTTTAATTTTCAACAACAAAATGATAAACAAACCATGGGCGTAGTGAAGAAAAGCATTTACTTATTAAGTAAATTCTTTTAGTCGAATTTCTTTTGAAAGTAGTAAAAACTAATCTGATGTACCTATTAAAGTCTACTTTAAGCTTTAAATCAATAAATCTTCAAAACTACTGAACTGAAGCTCATGTATTTCACATGATTATAAAGGGAATTGAAATACCTTTAAAATAAGGTATCACTCGACCCCCTTTTCCATTTAAGATTTTAGGGTTGGTGTCACCCCCGCCCAGGGTGCTGCACGTGTTAAGGTAATTTTTTGCCAAACTTGTGTCCCCCTCGAAAACAAAATCGACGGGTCTGCGCATTTTTTCCAAAAAAAAAACTGAGCTGCCAGTGAATGCGTCTGTTTCGTTTTCGATGCGCCACCCTGTCTATCTATTAGTGTAGGCAACACACCATTTACCCCTGGGTGTCTTATCTGCAAAGGTAAATATATAATTATATCCACGAAGAGACCCAAATCAAGATATAATAATCCTTGTTAGTATACGCACCTCGGTGGTCGAATCATGGCCCAAGTGAGGAAGACTGTGCCCACAGTGAAATTCATATTGCGATAAACGGCGCTGGAGATCTTTTTGAACCCTCACAGATCTATCCGGTTTTTCGATTGGCCAGAAGACGTCAACCTTATTTAGTAATCCCATTGAATTTTTTGACCTCAAGAAACTTTCAAAAGATTTAAGAATGTTGTCCACACGGCAAACTGAGACAGGCCAAAAGATTAAATGGACGAGTATTATGACGTTTATGGTAAGTAAACCCACCAATCTATTTTTTAAATCTAGCCACCACGGAACTAGTTATAACAGTATTTAGTTAAAAAGACTGATGAAAAATAGTAACAATATGAATGATATTAAGTTAGAACAACTTAATAAAGGACTAGTAAAAATAACAAAAAAAGAAGTACTCCGTTAATTTCATTATGTGAAAATTCAACACTCGTTGTATGCTTACCAGAATTAGAAAACTTTTTAGAAATTTGCCTTGTGAAACGGAATGAATTAATAACTTTGCCTTTGTTTTTTTTTTTTTGTAGCATGATACATCAATCTTAGCTGGTAATATCTCAAAAGGTAATGTTTAAGTTAATTGCTTTTCTTTTAATAAAAATTGCTTTGACGTTTCGAGTTGTTTTCTTCATCTCATCAACTAATATTTGTGTCATAATCTACATCAATTTTAGGCATGGGCATTTAGGTAAATTTTGTAGGGGGTAGCCAAAATTCAAAACTTTTTTACATAAGCTCTGCTAGCAGCAGACCAACGATTACTTAAAAAATTAAACATTCAACAAATTTTCTGAGATAATAATAATAAATAAATTCTGTATATCTTAAAAAAGTATGAAAACAAGAACTTTAATAAAAATATATTTTAGCTGTACCTGGCAAAAAGCTTCTGAACATTCTCACGAAGTGACCTACGTGCGTTTTCCAATTTTTGCCAAAATAACTTGCTAAGCTACCGCAAATATTGAAACAACATATGATCGGCAATGAATACGGTCTGATACACTGAAATTTTCAAAAACTTTACATGCAATACTCATCAACCACACGCTGATTTCGTTTTCTTGCTCTCCTGTACGATTTACCAAACGATGGTTAGGACATCGTGGAATGTTGACGACATAAGCGCAAGCATTAAACTTACAGTAATACGCGGTATACAAGTTTTCTGTTGCTTAAAGATAGATACACCACTCAAGTCCTTGTTTCTCATTTATGTCGGTTTGTCGGTCCGTGACTGTTGAATATCAATGCGTCATAAGTACTGAGTCAATCTACTTGACGAAATATTCGAAAAACCATCACTGAACGCGAAACTGGTTTGTACACCTAATGTCGACGACGCACCATCACGCCGTGCACGCAACGCCGACGATTGCCAAGTGACTTCGAATTATTAGCACATGATACATCACACCTTTATCATTTTTAATTTTCCTGTTACCGGGATCAGAACCTTCTTAATGGTGGAACGTGTTTGACTAATACTGAAGACGTTACATTTACAACTCCCTATCCCCTACAATGCTCAAACCCCAAGTTTCAACCCTACAAATAATTTTCTGAAAGTGATCATGAGCTTCTGAAACGTCAAAAAGCGAAGTTTAAATGATTTTTATTTTTTTCACGATTTTGCACCTAGTTCCGTCACCACAAGACCTATTTTCAAAAACTACAAGACTTGTTTATTCCTGGCATAGTAGTAACCTTGTGTGGAAGTTTTATCAAAATCCGAGCGGTACTTCTCAAGTTATAGGCGGTTATAAAATTAGCGGAAGACCGACAGAAATCATTGACATGGTTTTTCGTGAAGTACATGTCATATAACATTAAAAAAACATATAATTTTTATTTGGAAATTTCTTGCCAGTGTTGGCATACGAAGTAAAAGGAATCTTTTATGGCCTCCAAGAGCCTCGCTATCTCGGTGGTTAGCGCGTCGATCTAGCAGCCTGGGGGTCGCGGGTTCGAATCTCCGCCTCGGATGATTTGGATGTTGTATTGTGTGTTGTCTACATCACGCACGTGGGCATAATACTAACGTACATCTGATTGCTGGAGCTGGTTTATCAGATCAGTTATCAATAGATGGTTCGTGGAGTAGTACAGTGTTGGTACTACGGGGTCGGCAAAAAAGATCAAGGGTGACCTGGTTGCCAGGCCTCACCTCCTCACCATTACTGCTACTAGTATGGCCTCCGAAACGAGATATTGACTAGGGACCTACTACCTTTTTTATGGAATGGGCGAGTATTATAGAAATACTTAAAATTCTCTTCTTCGCTTAGTACATGTTAATTTGATCATTGCCAATACATTTACGTGTACCAGAATACATCTCAATATATCAATCAGATTTCGAGAAATGTATGACGAGCCTGTGTTCGGGTACTACTCACATGTTTTGGGGTGCTGCCCGATTTCGTTATCCATGATGTTTGGTGTTGGGAGGAGGGCTTACTAACAGATAGTCTCGGGACCCTTTCGCACCGAGCGGCTCTGCTAAGGCGCTGACTTCAGCCTCCTTACCTTAACCGTGTGGAACATCGTACATCCAGAACTGGCCAATACGTTTGCTCCTTCTTCCCTAGGGTATCTAGAATGTGGAGGCTTTTCCAAGTTCTAATAACCTTAGGCAGTTGAAAAATCGGATTATCAAGGTTTGTTCAAGCTCCCCATGACAGCCGTGATGCCCTGGTATTGAGGCTTCTGCCTACGCGGCTGCTTCACTATAAGAAAATTCCTATATGAACTTTTTCATATTCCATTCAAAATATTAAAGATTCTGAATAAAACGTCAGTCTCCATTACCAATACACAAGCTGCCCTTCGGCCATAGTCTTCACGGTTATTTGAGTGTGTCCAAAGAGTATGGAAAGGAGAATATATCTCAAAAGCTACTCTTTACAAAGAAATATATAACAGAACGTGACCTTTACTATGCCTGGCCCATTCAAGGTCAGTCAGTTTTCTTAATGGGAAACCCTTATTTTTTACCGGAAAAACCCCAGTAAATCCATGACTATCAAAGTCATTTGAAGATTTCATGAATTTTTAACAGGAAACATCTACTTTTAATTACTGATATGCAAATCGCCG